GTGATAATAGGTAATGATTTTGTTTTGGAAAAATTACTTTGCTTGGGACAAACAAGATTCTAGGTTGGGGGAGTTGTTAAGTGGTAAAAAGTTGATATAATTATACTTTGAATCGTTATGAAATCACTTAACTTATGTTAATTCTAATCTATTTTTCTCCCAATATAGGATGAATTCGAGAATACCTTGATACAAGAGCAAATATCATAATTATGAAGTAATTGAAGAAAAATTGAAAGAAAGAAGAACGCTTAAGCGAATGAATAATGTGAGGCCCGACCCAAATTTTCTTATAAAAAGATAAGATGTGTTTTGAGAAAGAAAGCGGTTTTGGAGGAGAAGAGGTGCGACTACTGCTAGGGTTTCGTCCAATCTTCATCAATTCTTCACTTCTTCCACATTTGGAGCATTGTAATGGCCAACATGAGTAACTAACTTCATTCTTTTAGGATTTGGTGCACTTCCTTTGAACTCTTTTGTATCATGGTGATATTTTAAGATATTAATCTATGTTTTGATGTTGTTATTCTTATCCTTTGTGTTTTGGAATGATTTATTCTTGATGTTTGGGCTATGATTGGAAAATATATCTTGAACCCTAGATCACGGTAAGAATATTTGTTACGTTAGTTGCCAGGAATGGAATGAATGTATCAATTGCTTAATACCCTAAACCTAATGCTAGAAAATCTCTTAATTGTGTGAGAAATCAACATTTATTAGGTTTTCTTATGAATTTCATGTGTGAGGAATCAACATTGATGATTTGAGTAGGTGACATCAATATTGTTAGGTTAATTGACGTTCTTAATTGACATAGTCATTAAAAAAAAGTGATAAGGAAGGAAATCAATGAGAGCTTTTAATTGATATTTTCTCAACAATTTACAGTTTTTGTCATTTAAATTCAATTCAACTCTTATTGTAAAACACAATCTGTTTTAATCTACTTAGTAAGTATATAATTGGGAATTTCTATTGAAACCGTTCCTCGTGCTATCGACTTTTATTTAATTGAAATATTATATTGCGATTGATAATTTTGGTACGTTTACCAATAATACAAAAGTGTAAATGACGAGGAGCTGATACTTCAAAGCGTGTTCCCGTGGATGAAGAAATTAAATCCTGCAGAGATGAAACAATTTTCTTTGATGGATGGGTTAATAACTTACCAACAATATCTTAGTAATTTGTTTTATTTTCCGTGAATAGATGTGCTTATAGTTGGGTGCTTGTTAGTCTATGTATAACTCAACAAAGAAATAATGCCCTAGTTTCCGGTATGAACAACCTTTTATACCTTCGGTAAATAAAAGTATATATTCTTTTATTGTGTTACATTTTGATTATTATTTTTTTTAACAAACACGTCTTTAATGGTGTGTAAAAATTATGTTTTTTTTTAATATTAGAGTAAAATTAAGTTATTTATAATCACAATTAAGTTAATCGATAAGGAATACAATAAAGAAGGAACAACATCAAACAAGGATAACAATAGTTTGTAAAGAGATAAAAATACTTTGATGTGGAACCATTTTTTAATTATGAGAATGAAAAGTTTTTAAAAAATATAAAGTTTATATAAAAAAAACATAAATCAGTGTGTACTTAATACATAGAATAAAATTGAAGAAAAAAAAAGAAATCTCAATAATAAAATAACTACGTGAGACCAGATCTCCAGTTCATGATCCTAATCATCAAAACGTAAAACACTGTTCAATTATTTTTAATTTATTTTATTTTTCATTTTAAATAAAAATATTTGAAAACTATCCTTTAAAATACTTATTTTAATAAAAAATTTATCTTCAAATATAATTCAAATAAATTATAGTATAAAAAAATAAATTTAAATTATATTAATTTTTTAAAATAATTGTAATTCATAAAATTAAATAAAAATATAATTTAAATTTTAAATAGCTCTTCAATTTAGTATTTTTTTATCAATAACTTTAATTTGATAGGTTTATTTTTTAAAATATTAAATAAAAATGATAATGGTTTAATATATTATTTGTTTAAGATTTAATTATAAAAAATATTTACTTTTATACTTTTTGAAAAATTGTTAATCTCTTTTAATAATATATTTATTACTTTAGTACGTTATTTTCACTAAAATTCATCAATAATTTATTGTTTCCTCTACTATAACATATAACTATTGAAAAAATAATTAATATAATATTAAATTGTATAAATAATTGATAAATAAAAAATTATAAAAATTCGATAGCGTACAAATTAAGAAGTTAAATTTTATTCCATGAAAGAAAAAAAATTGTGAATATTTGTATGTTTATACGACTATCAAAGATTTGGATAAAGCAATTGACAACTCGATTTAGGTTTGGGATGTTTTTAATGATAACCATAAGTTTGCTTCAGCTGAAACGTATCTATTTATTTATCTATCTATCTATCTATCTATCTATATATATATATATATATATATATATATATACTATAAATGAGAATAATTTTTAAAATAAAAATGAAAATAAACAATTATAACTATTATAGATTAAAATTTTAAAAAAATAATAAAGGATTGAAATTAAAATTCAATTAAAAAAGAAAATATGTGTGTTTCTTCCATTTTATCTTCCCTTCTTCCATGTCAATTACTCACATTCTCATACTTTATGTCATGATACCTAAATAAAATCAGATATTCTATTTAAATTCTTTAACTTTAATCACGATTAGGTTTGTCTTTTATTATTATTATTATTATTATTATTATTATTATTATTATTATTATTATTATTATTATTATTATACTCACTTGAGAAAAGAAGAATATTAAAAATAAGATAACCCAGGAAAATTGCAATATATAAGGTTATAATTTTCAAATTTGTATATTACAATAATGGCTCATAAATTTGGATGAGGAAAAAAAGGAAAATCTAACAAAATTGTAACGTACAGGTTACATAAGAATGAATATATGTGCAAGTGTAACATATGAAGAGAAAAAAAAACAGGTGAAGAAATATAGGTTTTTTTAATTTTAATTGGATTTCTATCTCAATTCTTGATTATTTTTAATCTAAATTTAATGGAAATATATTTCCTCAAGTTATTTTCATCTAAAATTTATATATATATATATATATAAAGAAACGTTCAGGGAAGATAGTATTAAATATTCGTTTCATTACCTCTATTTAATTGTAAAAGTACAGTTTTGACAATTTTTTATGGAAAAAAGATATTTGAGTTTCTCAAGTTGAGTGTTTTTGTGATTAAAACATATTTTTAAATATTTTACAGATTAAAAATAACTAAAATTTGTTCCTTCAAACTAATTTTTTTTTATTTTCAAAAATTAAAAACCTAAAAATTAAGTTATTATATTTTTCCAACAATATTTATATATTTTTTGTAAACTTTTATATAATACTTATCAACATATATTATATCTATTAAAAATATTTAGAGTTATAATGTATAAAAATGCGTAAATTATGACTTACACATTCAAACTATAAAGGTTAAACTACGTAATTAATGGCCAAATTGTTTGAAGTTTTCAGATGAAATTGGTCCCTGAATTAAAAATATAGATTCCTAGAATTAGCTTAAAATCTTAAAAAAATAAAATGTCGTGAATAAAATAAATGATTTTGAACCAAACTCAATTAATTAAGTTTAATCCAATGCCGTGCCCTAACGAGCAAGGAATCCGAATTCAAACATTGTGTTATGATTAGGGCTAAGAAAAATAAATATTATTTAATCGTATATTTTCTAATAATTATTTTAAAATAATGAATTTTAATAAATTAAAAATACAAAATTGTGTGAAGGATACATAAAAAATATTTTTTGTTTATGAGATGTTAAATACGTGTATCTTTCCTAATTTTACATTTTTCCTTAATTTATGGGTACTCTTCTGTCAAGGAATAATATTCAAAAGACACATATATATTGAGTAAAAAATAAATAAATAAAAAGATAATGGAATCACGTGTTTTTCTTTTCTATAAGTTCATTAGATATCTAAATCCTTTTCTTCACGAAATTTGACAACATAAACAAACGAAATGAGAAAAATAAAATTAACCGTATCCTTCTTTTCTTCTTAATAATAAATTTTTATTATCCTTTAATATTAATAATTAAATTTCACTATTTGATTAAGGCTTAAACATTTTTATTTCTATGTTTTGAAAGATAATCAATAAGGAAATTTGAAAAATTATAAATTTTAACAACCTTACTATCTATTAATATAATATATTAAAAATTACTGTCTATCGATTAATTTACTTTTTTGTCAGTAAGAATTAGCTATAAAAATTGGGTTAGGTTTATACGGGTTTGAAATTTTAATATCTCTTTACGTTCCTGTCAGATTTTATCGGGTTAAATAAAGTCGCGAATGACTGGTTACACCAATTTTTTTAATTTTAATTTACGCATATATTTGAAATAATTTATGTATTATTATTAATAATATGTAAACTCAAACAATATATGAAAGAGAAATATAAGAAATAAAGGTAAAAATTATATTATATTTTTAATTGAGTTTATAGTTTTAAATTTATTTGTTATAATTTAAATGAATTACAGTTAAAATAATTAAATGTCACTTTTAAAACTTTTTAAATTAAAATATAAGCATAATTATTTTCTCTCTATATATTATATAATTAAATTTTAATAAAATGATATTTTAACCTTTCTTAAAAAAAAATACAATTTAGACAGCCTATGTAATAATATAACAATATTATTATATCAAATTTTTTAATCGATATTTTTTTAAAGAAGTTATGAATATATAATCATCAGATTATTTTAGTAACAGTAGGGAAGTTACCGTTGGAGTTGGGTAAGCAATAATTATTGTATCACTAAAAATAGTTTAAGTGAAGGCCTTTGGTTGTATAGGGTTCAGGGTTGTATAAATAGGTGGTGAGAAAGGGTGGATTCCATGATCCAAAGTGGAAAGAGATAGTGAGAGCGTGAGAATGATGGGAAGCAGAGTGTTTGCAATAATGGTGGTGGTTGCTGGGATGTTATTGCTGGGGAACCTGCCAGAGGCTTCAGCACAATGCGGAGGTAATTTCTTATTGATTATTGCGAAGTGTAGCAACTCTTTCGAAGATAATGGGCCACCGCCATCCACCCAGTGCTGCGATCAATTGCGAAAAATAGATCAGAACTGCGCCAGAGCTTACGCTGATGGCAGCGGAATCAACTTCGACAGAGCTGTCGCTGTCAGTAGGGCTTGTGGAATCTACGTTCCTCCTTATCCTGCACCCGGGTCTTCTCAGCCCTAGCACTGAACGTCAACATTCAGGACGAATGCATATAATAAATAAGCCTCTACTGCATGCGTCAATTCATATTTTCTTGCTTTAAATTTAACTCGTTATTGTTAGATACTCGGTTAGTTCAATGTTAATTGAGACACCAGTGCCTAAACTATAAAACATTATTCATATGATAAACTGCTACATTTCTTGGTTCAGCGTACATCTATTTACGAAAAATAAAACAAATTACTAGGATATTGATGGTAAGTTATCAATCCATCCATCTTTATTGATAAAAGATGCGAAAGAAAAGTGATCCAGCTCCGAAGCATTTAAACTCTTCATCCACGGAACACGCTTGGAAGTATCAGCTCCTGGTCCTTTACAGTCAACTTCAGCATAAGTGGTCCTACTCCTTCAAAAGTTTAGTCACAGATTAATCAAAAATGGAAACGAAATGCTTCAAATATAAAATAACGCTACAAACCCTAAGAATACTGCTTTTCAATTCGAAGAGATTGGTGTATTGAAACATACTCATTGCCAGCAGCATTCCAAGCATCCCATCCTTGAGGAGTTATAATGGAGGAAAAATAGGTTTTATGAAAAATGACTCTGGAGTATGGTCTCCATGCTCTTCCTAAATTCACTTTACCGTTCCCTGTAATGGAACCCCCTTCAAACACAAAACCACCTGGGTCATCTGCTGAGTCTCGTCCTTGAGCTGTCACAAAGCCTGGTAAATTTGGATATCTCCCCAAAGCATTTATCCAACAGTTCTACAAGTCACAAACATTAATGTTTCGTTATCTTGTTTTGAAAATGGATTTAAGATATAATTAGTGTAATTTACCTCATAAAAAGATTGTGCAGCACCATATATAAAGTCGACTTCACCCTGAATGTAACAATCTTTAAAATAATGACGTCCGAGAGCATCAAATAAAGTGTCTTGATAACCTACAAAACTACAATTATAGAAGAAAGAGTTGTCTCCCTGTATTCTTGCTGCATTTGCTTGTTCAATTGGACTGCTTTTCGAATTGTTCAATTTATATATTTTATTCGCCACCACATTATATGAGTTCTGTAGAAACATAACAAGACATTTGAGACAAAGAACAATGAAGAACTATAAACATGGTTGTTCTATCATTTATATCTAATGTTCACCTTGAAAGTAATGCCAGTTGCAATCACATAGGATGCAAAAGAAGTGAACGTAGCGTTGTAGTTTATTGATCCGTGATCCCCATAACTCATGTATGTTTTCTCGCTACCCTCGCCTTCTAAAATTATGCACGCCTTTTCTATGGGAATAGTAACCATTTCCCTGCACAATTAAAATGTGGCAGTAACTTGTACATGATTATAAACTAAAAAATAATCTGTGAACTACTTATGAATATTTTCTTACGGAATTAAATTCCTATGTATTTAAGTCCTAGAAAGGTGAATATATTTTAAAAAATGTGTACCAAGTTAATTCCACAATTAACCTCAAGCAAAAAGTTGAGGTTGGATACAAATACATATTCTTTATTAGAATCACACTGTTAAAACTGATAAACAGTTAGAGTTGCGAAGTTTAAGAACGGTACAGAAGGTTTCTGATGAATTCAGAATTTTTTGAAGTACATTAATTTCGATATGAGTTTGAGTATTCATCCTTATCAAAATCAGAAATGCCAAAGATTAAAAAAAATAAAAATACTTCTCTGAAGTTATCTCCCTGGCACAATTTACATGGCAAGCATAATTCTTACTACTATCAGTGATGATTTGGATAGTGAAAGAAAGAGAAAGAAGGTATAGAGTGGATTTATAGAAATAGCATCAGTAAAAACAATAAATGGATGTTAATGGATTTAATCAACACAAAGTCTTGGTCTTGTAGTTGCAGAGATTTTTTCTCTCTCTCTTTTCCACAATGGTGTACAAAACTTGTTGATGAGTACGTACCAAATTAAATGTAGCTATAAGAATGATGTTTGATGAACGCATGCATGAATATTCTTTGTATTTGCATTAAAAAGAAAAATCTGGGTTGTTGATCAAACAAAAACAAAAGTGATTTTATAAGAATAACATTCGAACTTACACGTATAAGCCGGCTTGTATATGAATCTTGACCCATTTATCATTGTCTGTGTCTACAGAATCAATGGCCTCCTGAATTGTTTTAAAATCTGCTGCTCTATGGCCAACAATGATAGTTTGTGAAATATTCTTCCCACCACAGTCTATGGCTTTAGAAAGACAAAAGAAACAACAACTAATGAGCAACATTAGAAGAAAACTCATCGTTCTAGGAAACAATTCCATTGTCATATTTTTGTTGAATGAATCTTGTAAGCATGAACATCCCTTTTAATACAGAAAATGTTGTCAATATTTGGAAAAACTAACTCACTTTTTTTTTTATTATTATACAGCTTCAAGAAAATAAAAATGATTAATTAATTACTTATAATTTTTAAATCTATTTCCTTTCATAATTAATATTTTTCCGATAAACTATTAAATATCTTAGTGAATTTCTTTGGAATAAGACAGTGGATCAATGGATCTAGGCACAAGATTAGAGTGCATTATAGATACTCTTCACCATCGTTATGTTTCGTTGAATCATCACTCCATGAATGGTTTCATCATGCAACAAGTTAATAACGTATTTGAAATATTTATTGTAAAAAATATCGAAATAGTTAAGTTTTTTTTTCTAAAAAACAAAACAAGATATGGAAAAAAATAAACTCATAAATAAAATTATAATTTTTGTTAGTGAAAGACTCCAACCCACGAATTATCACCTCCTTTCATTTTAGCGCCAAATCGATTTTATGTCACAATATAAAGAAGTATTATTGACGACTTTTATTGTTGATATCAATTATTATTATTATTATTATTATTATTATTATTATTATTATTATTATTATTATTATTATTATTATTATTATTATTATTATTATTATTATTATTATGCAATTCTCTCTTGTGATTTTTATTTATAAAATTATCTCTTCATATAACTATTATAAGAAATTCATTCAATTGAAATTAATTTAGAGACAAAAGAAATAGTGTGTAACTTTTTAATAATAATTTTTTTCTATTATTGAGAAGAACAAAATTACGCGGAAAGAAATAAATATATAAATTTAAATAAATATTATAAAATTATTAATTATTATAGACATTAAATTGATAGCATTAGTATTGTAGCATAATTTATTGGCATTGTAGGTTAAAGAATTATCTAACTAACGCTAACGTAGGTAATAATGTTTTATGATTAATTGATTTTTAGTTTACAAAGTTAAAATGAATTAAAATATAGTAGTCATTATTTTTAACGATAAATAATTTTTTCATTGAATCAATCTTTATGCATTACAATATTGGACAACTACTAATTGAATGAAACAAAATAATTATAAATAAATTAATATTAAACGAATATAAATAATTTTTTCTTATTATTGTATTCATAAATATCATATGAAATTTACTTAACAATTTAAATATCATATTTATCAATTATCTTTTAAAATTTAATAAATGAAATACGAGCATGTTATATATATATATATATATATATATATATATATATATATATATATATATATGATATTTTATACGAATATTTTATTCAAAATGAAGCATCAAATTATTCGTGCATGTTTAATAATAGGACTTTTTTTTCATATACAAAATTATGAATATAATTTGTAATATAATAGAATTTATTTTTTGTTGATGAAAAATATTATTAGAAATATTTAATAGTTTTCTTTAAAACTAAAAAGCAAAGTATTTTTTTAATTAAAATTTAAATTCGTTATAACATTAAATAATTTAATAAAAATAACAGAAATTATAAATAAGCTTGCTTTTTTATAGTGTCATTTTCTAAAAAGTAATAAAAGCATGAGAAATATAAATTCTAAAATAAATAGATAATTAAATAAATAATGAATAAAAATAAATAATAAATTAATATATTAATATATTACTAAATGTATACATTAATAAAAAAACAAATAAATTGATATAAGATAATAAATTAAAAATTTAATAATATAATACAATGAATTAGAAAAATAATTAATTATTAACTTAAAAATTAAATTATTAAATCATTAAATTAGTAAATTAATATACTAGGAAATTAATAAATTATTAAATTAATGAATTAGTATGTGAATAAATTAATAAATTTATAAATTAACAAATTAAAAATTTAAGTATCAGTAAATCAATATATTAATTAAATAACAAATCAATACAGTAATAAATTAATAAATTGATATATTAATAAATGAATAAATTAATATATCAATAAATTAATAACTTAATATATAGGAAATCAATAAATTATTTTTTATACTTTAAATTAATATTAAGTATTAATTTTATATTATCATATAGTTAAAATAAATTGATTATATTTACATTTTTTTTTAAATAATTCAATGAATTTATCATTATTTTAAATATACATGGACCATTGAAACAGATATATTTTTTCAGAAATTATTAGATTTATCCTTATATATATATATAATTTTAATAAATATTTAAACTTATATATATATGTTTATTGTATACATTTATTTTATAAGTTGTTGTTAATCATTATTTGTATTAATGTTTTAAATTTAAACAATATGTGGTTATTGTTACTTTTTTATACTTTAACTTAAGATTAACTATTAATTTGTGTTATTATAATATAGTTAAAAAAATTGACGAAATTTACATTTTATATATATATATATATATATATATATATATATATATATATATATATATATATATATATATATTCAATGAGTTTATCATTATTTTAAATATACAGGGATCAAAACTAAATTTGAACAGAAGAATGGAAACAAAAATATATCTTTTTCTCTTTAGAAATTATTAGATTTACTTTATATATATATATATATATATATATATATATATATATATATATATATATTTAGTAAATAATTAAATTTATAAAAATATAAAATGGAATGAGAAGTAACTCTTTTTTCAGGATTTCTTATAAAAAATTTCTATTAAAGGTAATCTTCTTCAAGCAAGATAAAATGATCTCTTTTCGAGTTCTTAATACATTTGCATTAAAGACGTTCTTATTTAATTATTTCTATTAAAAATACGACCTGTGTCATTTGATGCACTTCGTCCCTGAGCTGTGACAAAACCTGGTAAATTTGGTTCTCTCCCCACAGCATCGACCGAACAGTTCTACAATTGAACAAAACACCAAAAAAATGAATGTTTGATTATTTTATCTTTAAAAATGGATTTAAAAAAGAAACTAATGTAATTATTGTGCAGAACCAAATATAGAGTCGATTTCACCCTCAATGGAGCAATCTTTAAAATAATGGCGTCCGTACACGTCGTATAAAGTGTCTTGATAACCTACAAAGCTACACTTAAAGAAGAACGATTTGTCTCCATATATTCTTACTGCATTTGCTGGTTCAATTGGATCGCTTCCAGTATTGTTCCATTTATATAGTTTATTCGGCACATTGTATGAGTTCTATAGAAACATAACAATACATTAAGGACATTGAAGAACAATCAAAATGGTTGCTCTTTCATGAATTTATATGTTCACCTTGAAAGCAATGCCAGTTACAATCACATTATTGCTTACTTTTAGATGGTCCCAGTAACTAATGGTTGTTGTGGCGCTACCCTCTCCTTCTAAGATTATGCATGGCTTTTCTCTGGGAATAGTAACCCTTCCTCTGCTTACAAAATGGGAAATGATTATAGAAAGGTGGGTATATTTTTAAAAATGTGTACCAAATTCACGAAAAATTCACATTAAGGTGTTTTATTCAACATTAGAACCACAAGGGAAAAAAAATTGAGGTTGAATACAAATACATTCGTCACTAGAATCGTATTGTTAACATTGATAAACAGCTAGGGTTGCCAAGTTTAAAATCAATGGACAATATAAAGAAGGTTTCTGATGTATACAGAATTTTTAAAGATACTTATGAGGTTGTACTTTAATTTGGATGTAATGAGTTTGAGTATTCATCCTTATCAAAATTGAGAATCAAAGAGAAACAAAGATACACTCATCTGAAGTTAACTGGCACAATCTACCAAAATGATGATTTGGATGATGTAAGAAATATTAGAGTGGATTTATAGAAATAATATCAGTCAAAACAATAAGTGAATCTTGTAAAAAGTATGGATTTAATCAACACAACGTCTTGGCATGAAGCACACAACGTCTTGGCATGAAGCATGTTATAGTTGGATAGGTCTTTCCTTTTTCTTTTCTTTTTAACAAAATATTGGTGTACTTTTCTGGTTTTTGGGAAGAGTAAACTGTTGTAAAAGCTAACAGAGATACGAACAAACTTTATTCCTGAGGCGTGTATAAACACTACCCTTAAGGACTTATCCGCGGTATATTGCGCAAGTCCCCTAGGATACAACAGGAACTTCTCGAATATCCGAGGATCTCATAAACTAGCAAAAAACTCTCAAAAGAGTAAATTAACCCAGGATCACAGAAAGAAGATCAGAGAAGAGAAAAGAAGAAGAGAGAGGTGTCTTCTGAAGAGTGTGAAGTGGTCTCTATTTATAAGAGAAAGTCTGTAACAGTTATGGAAGACTTAGTAGTGGGTTTGTAACGTTTCCTGTAACGTTCTCTGTAACGTTCTCTAAAACATTCTCTGAAACGGTTTTCAGCAATGTGTGCTCTGAAACAGTCTTCTGTAACGTGTGCTCTGTTTTGCAATACCCCTTAATTTACAACATAAACAATTTAAATGTAGCTATATAAGTATGATGTTTGATGAAAGGATGCATGAAAAATTCTTTGTATTCTCAATAAAAAAAAGAGAGGATTATAAGAATATAATTAATATAAACTTACATTTACATGCCAGGTTTTACATGAATCTTGACCCATCGATCATTGTTAGTTTTTACAGAATTAATGACCTTTTGAATTGTTCTAAATGCTGCTTCGCCTTGTTTACCAACAAGGATGGTTTGTGCAACATCCTTCCCACCACGATATGTGGCTTTTCCAACCCACAAAAGAAACAACAAATAAACAACATCAGAACATAATTCATCTTTCTAAGACACAATTCCATGGTAGAATACCTTTCTTTCATGAACTTTCTAACCACCAACATCCTTTTTTAATACAAAAATGATGTCGTAAATATTTGGGGAAAAAAATCTCACTTTTTTATAAAAGTTCAAGAAATAAAAAAAACATTAAT